GCCCGGGGAGAAGCCGTGTGCGTCTGCTAGAGCCCCGTGCGAGGAATACGAACCAGATGTGCGCCGAGGAGGGCACCCAGGTGACGCGGGGCAGCCCGCATCCTGCGCACGCCTTGGACGACAGGATGCAGCTGCTGCGGTGTTTTCCAGGCTGCAGGCTCCTGCCTCTGCAAAACAAGCCAGGCGAGGACGAGGGGGGAGCAGCGAGGGGAGGAAGAAGGGCACCATTTAACGCCTCTCATTGCTAGTCAAGCCGACATCCTGCGGAGGCACAGGGAGGCACGGATCCAAGGTACAGGGCGGTTCGCAGCGGCAGCTCCACCCGGGCAGCCCGCCGAACCCCACGTCCACCCACCGCCGTTCCCCCAGCACCAGTCGCCCTGCGAGGTCCTTGTCCCCCTTTCCTCTGCCCGGCTCCATCTCCCCCTGTGCCATCCGGCTTCCTACTCCCAGGGGATGGAGCACCCAGGCCAGGCTCCACTCCCCGGGGCAGAGCCAGCAGCCCCCTGCTATGAAAGGGACCACGCTGGACTCGGAGGGCAGCTGAGCTTTCCCTGGGCAGACACTCGTCGGCGTGTTAGGAACGGCACAGCTCCTGCCTGGGAAGTTTACGAACCAAGAGCACTAAACCAGTCTTCCTCCCAGGTAGGATTATTTAATCCAGCAGCAAGTACCAGGCAATAAGGGCTAATGCCGATGAGCTTTGGGCACACGCGGTGGGTACGGCAGGGCGACCAACGAGTCGCTGCACTAGGCGATGATGAGACGCAGGCATCCTGCTCTGCCGCCCTGGTTCATGCGGAGAAGAAGTGGAGAAGAGATTTAGCAAACTCCAGCGGACACCATCTTTTATGGGACTTTTTTTTATTTTCCCAGTCACAAGAACAAGTGTCATTAGCGACTCCTCCTGAAACAAGCAGCTGTTCTTTGGCCATTACTGCTCCAAAATTAACCAAGACGGAAGAATTCAATTGCATCCCTCCTCCCAGCCCTGCTGAGTGTGCTCGATTAAGGGATTGAGAGCATCTTTTGCTCAGAGTTCATGGGCATCCTAGTGCCTGAGAATGCACGCACGCCTTGGGTAAACCATGAGCACGAACGCATAAAACCCCACCGCTGCCAGGGACAGAGCAACCCTGGCGTGAATGTTATCGGCGGCAGCACCGGTGTCTCGGAGACACTCAAAGCTGCTCGGCAGGAACACAGCCAAGAACCAGGAGGGAGGATAATCTCCAGAAGAGACAGCCCCTTTCTCCCTTCCGTTCTCAATCTCTGCGAGGATATTTCAAGGCCCCCAAAGAACACACACACACACAAAAAAAAGGCACGAGCAGAACCGAACAAAAATAAAAGAAAGAAACAGGACACAGCCACAGAGGAGGGGCAGCGCGGGGTCAGGCGACACCTGCTAGCGATGGCCTTGCAAGGCAAGCCTGCAGCTGGGGAAGGGAGGGAGCGGCCGTAATTCTATCAACGGCCACAGTAAACAAATAATAAATAACGTGAACCAGTAAACAAAGCAGAGGCATAATCACAGGCTTTGTCAGAGCTAAAACCGAATCCAAATTTATATCCTCACAACCAAAAAAAGTCAGTGCCCATAAATTTACATACCTTTGAGTGCAATGAATGGGTTGTTATTGGAACCGCGGACAATGCGCTGGCAGAAGTGATGAAAGCCGCCCTGTTTGGCCACTCGCACCCCTCGTACAGGTGGCCAGTGCAGAGCCATCGCCGGGCTCTGCTCACAGAGCTGCATTTATTACCTTGATCAGGGAGATCTGTGCTCTGTCCTCACGAGGGACAGACCCCAGCCCCCGCACCCTACCTTTCCTTTCCCTTCCCAAAAGGGCAACTCTGACAAGGTACCATTGGAGCTGGCACCAGGCTTTTCCAGAAGGCAAAACTGCAGCCTTTCTTGGGAAAAGTCCCCAGGATGCTGGGACGATGCATGGAGCTGCCTGGAAACGACCCTGCTTCCACCACACTTTTTTTCTTTTTCTTTTTCTTTTTTAAGAGGTGAAGCTGGAAGCAGGGCTGGGAAGCACAACTCAAGCAGACACATACCTGGGATTTTGACCAAATCCTGGTCAATTCTGTTCTCCTCTCTGTCCAGGTGCTCCAAGCCCATCGCTTCTGTCTTCACGGGGGCGTCCTCCGTTGCAGACAAGGTGGTATACGTACTAATAACCAGTATTCCCAGGCCAATCCACAGTATAATCTGCACGATGCGTCAGAGCTTCAGTTAGCACAGGAAAACAAACAGGACTGCTCTGTACAGCATTCTTCATGCAAACAGTGTCTCCAAACAATTCAAAGCTCAGTGCAATTACACATGTCAATAAGAGAGAGAGGACAGAAATTTAAGAGGCAAAAAAGAAAAAACAGTAGCTTTTGGCTGAGGTTTGTATTTGGATGTAGAGACATACAAATGAAAGTTTCAGATGCCGGAAGCTGTTGAAAAGGCGACTCCTGCATCAGAAGGGCTCAACAGCAAGTGGACAGGATGTAAGGATAGAAAAATGCATGTGGCAGACACGTCCAGCTGCAAAGGCTCATTCCCTGTTATTTCCAGCAGCTACATTAGAACACCATGAAATCAGGACTGGCTAAGAACAGAGGTGCCCAACCTGTTTATGGCCTAGAAAGGTTTCTAGGGAGCTGTTTAAAAATTCTTATTTTTGAAAGCAAGAATAAGACGTCCATACACAAGTCCTGGTGGCCAGCGCTCAGAAGCTACTACGAAGTAACTCACTGGTTTCCAGAAAGCTGGGACCAAACAGAATGAAAATAGAAAGACAGAATCTGGATCCTGTGGAGGGAAGAGCTCTTCGAATTTCTCTAGCTCAAAAAGGAGAAAGTGACCACCACCAAAAAGAACATTTCTATAGCTTATTATCTAACGATGAATTGATCTAAAAGGATCTAATTCCACATGAGCCGTCAGAAAGAATAAAAAACTCTGCACAAAAATAAATCTCTGGGAGCACTAGCAATTCATAGGGTAACTTGAGAAGGACAATCAAGATGATGCGCAACAGCAACAGGGGAGGAGGAACGTCTGCCGTGTTCAGTGCCAGGGCTGCCAAACGCCTGCCTGCTCCTCCAGATGAGAGCGGTACCCGTTCAAAGAGCTGAGCGGATGGATTGCCGGCTGACAACGCTGACTGGGGAGATTTAAACAAACTCTATTATATTATTTTTACCTAGTTAATCACTGCAATTGTCACAGTAAGGGCTTCTCATGGAACCTGGTTTGCATGTCAACGCGTCAACGGCACTGTGACCAACTGGTAGGAGAAAGTCGGCAAGGGTTTGTGCTGAAGGAAGCAGGCAAAGAAGTGGCACCCTCTGCTAGAAACTCGGGTCTCCCCACAAAACCCGTTTCACAACAGACCATGGAAGCAACAGGAACCACCATATGCAAAATAGAAAACGCCTCTGCCATGCCGGGAAGCTGAAAGTTTGCAGCAAATTGGTATTTACAATGCAGCAACTCCCTTTGTTTTTTTCTTTTTATTTCAGTACATCCTGCTCTCTGAAATGCCAGGGATCTGGCTTAACTCTGCATACAGCAGCAAAGAATCCAAGACAATGCTGCAACCTGCATCTTTTGTTTGCACTCACGGCCACCTTGCATGACGCTCAGAGCTCGCAGGTAGCACACCGCTGGTTCTCCTCCACTTTTTGCCAGCTCCCGTCCCCACCGCTGCTGCGTGTGCGCTGACTGCAGGCTGCTGGGGAGAGGACACCAGTTTTTCCACCACGTGCCTAACAAGAACAACTTGCTACGCAAGCTTGACAAGGCAATCATATAAAAGTCTCAATCTGCAAAGGAAAAATGCTGCTTTGGTACACCATCTTGTTGCTGTCCATTAGGAACCACACAAGCTGCCTACCCCTCTGCAGAGCGGTGCAACACCTTAGTACCGGTGATCCTAGCTTGGGCTGTGATACCAGCTCACGAGGGGGCCACATCCTGCAGGACTCACCCTCTTCCCCCAAAATCCTTACCCTGCAGCATTTACATCACAATTCACAACAAGCACAACAAAAGGATGCTACTCGGTGTGACAAAAACCAGGACTGGCCACAGGGGAGCATTGCTACAACTGGAAGCTGCCAGAGGGAGAAAACTGAAAATAAAGGGGAAAAGTGAAATCGAAAGGAGAAGCTAAAACGTTGGCACCTCCAGGGGAGGGAGGAGAGGCTAACGTTATCCTCTCCTTCCTCATGCCGAGGGAGATCATCCAGAAACGCAGGCCAGCACGGTCAGAGCCTCAGGCCCAGGAGACCCTGTTCGCAGCCCACCCCCGCAGACAGACAGACGCCTTCAGAAGGAAAAGGTTGGTGGGATGTGAAGCAGCTCTGGACAAGGGGCAAGCAACGTGGCCAGGGAGCAGAGGCCAGACCTTAGAGACACTGCAAAGGAAACAGAAGTAAAATCTGCTCCCTGCCTTGCCGTGTGGGTGCACAAAGAGCAGATATCCTGCCATCCCGCTCGGGCCAAAAGCGGAGTCAGCAGGTCCCTGCCACTGCTGCCCTCGGCTGGGAGCTCGTCCACTTCCTCCCCTCACACAATCTACGGTCCCGGCAGAAATGCATTTTACGACTGGAAGGCTGTTCTGGCATCTTCCAGAAACAACAGCGGAGAGGAAGAGCTTTTCCACAAAGAGGATCTATTCTGGTGCCACAGGAACCAGGAGCAACGTGGGAGAGAAGGGAACTGTAGGAAACGGCTGAAAACATTAAATGTTTCAAAAGGATTTTTGTTGTTTCATATCTTAGTGGGGGACCATGGGCTTGAATGCCTTAGATCGAAACCCCTTTGTTTCACATTTGGAGTTCATCTGTGAGCTTCCCAGAGCAGTGGGTACGGGCACACGTGGCAGTCAAAGACAGGCTGGGCTGTCCATGAACCAGCAGCCATCCCTCACCTTCAGCTCCCCTCTGTCAGCACACCTCCTCCTCACCGACTCCCTCAGCAACTGAGCTTAATTCAGTTCCACCAAGGCTAATCTGGCAATCGAAGGAACAGGAACATGGGCTGCAAGGACTCGGGGGCTCAAGGAACCAAACACGGGCAGAGGAGCCACCTAAGCCCAAAGCCTTCAGCTGAAGAGATGAGAACCTGGAGCAAGGAGAGGGTCAAGGCTGCAGAGCAGTTATAAGCCAGTCTCTGGTCCCACAGGAAGGATCTCCCCCACACCTCTGAAAAGCAAAGCCACCGAGAGCAGAGACCCTTCTCCAGAAACACCTCTCAATGTGGACTTGGCAAGAGGACGTGCAAAGCGCTCTGGCTGCAGCCTCCTCCAACAGGCAGGTCAGCAAGGCAAGGGCCTGTCTCCCGAGAGGAGCGCTCCGAGCACAGACGGGAATGCAGGAGGGGAAGTTTACGCAGCCGTTTCCTCTGCTGGTCGCTTTCCCTCGGCTGTCCTTCCTCCCAGAAGATAACTCGAACTTTGTACAGAAGTGTCATTAGCTCAGACCATCTCCTCTAACCACGCCTGAGCCATCAGCGGGAAGCAAAAAAACTGCATTTGTGTAGAGTGACGCCATCCTCCAAACTGTGCTGTTTTGGACACCGAGCGTTTGGAGGGACAGAGTCATGGTGAAGGAATGCAGAGCCCCGGTCACTGCCGGGTTCTTCCGCTGCGCCACGAAAGAGATGCTGTGTTTGAAGGGCTGTACTGACCGAAAGCGCCTGCGGTGAAGGTGTGCTGGCAGCTGCCCTACCAGGGGAGGGCAGAGGGGAATCTCTTTTCCATCCGCACAGGAGCGAGACCAAGGGGTCATTTCCTGACCTCGAGCAGCCTCGCCGCAGCTCCTCTTCCCCAACTGGGACAACAGCAACTCCGGCCTCCCTAGGAGGGGCCTCTCGGACAAGCTTGTGTCAACACTGGGAAGCCAACACCTTCCTGTTAGAAGTTAAACACTCTGTTTACAGACCTTAACGCGACCTTCAGCAGCACTCTGCCAAACCTCACTCTGTGCCCCCGCTCAAGGCTCCCGGAGGGCAGCAGGACACAGACCCACACCTTTACAGGAACAAGCTCGACGCTTAACCACAAGAAAGGGAACACTCTCCCCGGTTCATTCACAGCGCTGCGTGCCTTCAAGCTTTTTAACTGCTTTCTTACCTGACCGTCTTTCCAACACAGCAAGCCTTTCAACCAAGCCGCCCCCCAGCCTAGCCCAAGCTGCCATCCCCAGCCCTGGCCGGCTGACCAGAGTCTGCGATAATTAACAACTCGCTGGCAGAAGCCACCAGTGCTCTTCACTGGCCAGCAAACCTCTGGGACTGCCCACACCCCTCTCCACTACTTTCAGGGCAACTTCCCTGTCTTGTAGCCTCAGCTTGCAGCACCTTCCCAGCTCAGTAAATCCAAACTTCCTACCGACACGGGACTTTGCTGGATGCCAGAGCTGGCTCAATAAAAGCAGCCAGTTCGCAGCAGCAGCAGCACAAGAGTCAAGATAACTCAGGCAAGCGTTAAGAGCTGGCCTTGAGATGGCCTGCTGCTTCGGAAGAAAGCTAAAGATGAGGGAGGGAGGGAGAACATAGGTGTACATTGTTTAGACAGGGAAAAGCATGAAGAGACAGCTATGCCCAGGGCTGGCTCCTTCTCCCCTCTGACTGCCACTTTTCAGAGGAGCATACTTTGATGGAGTGGAGCACCTGATCAAAGAAAAGCAGGAAT